GCACTAGGTGCACCTTGACGAGGTGGCGTGTGTCGGGATCGAAAGAGTCCATGAGAAACGGGATATCGTGTAGGAAATTGAACTCCCAACACTCTGAAATGAGAGGATCGCTGAGGAGGTCCTTCAGAGTTACGGCATCTTGGTTGTCGCTCTCTGGGAGATCACGGATCCAGGTCAATTGCCACGGGGATTTCACGACGGTTGGTTTCCTGTCCCTCTTTTTAGGGGGGGTTACAGAACGCTGCAGTGACTCCGGTGTTTGAGCATCAGGCTCCTCCATTCGCTGGCGTTTGACCGGACGATTCATTGCGGTAGTTTGGTGGTAGAGCCTTGCTGGAAGAACCTGTGGATGTTGGCTGGCTGGAGGAAGACCTTGGCATAAGGGCGTGAGATTGATTTGCGGGTAGTTTTTTTGATATGATGCGCCAACAAGGACTAGTTGAGAAATTCGAGATCAGTCGAGGAGGTGTTTGTGAAGCAATCGTCATGTATGTACGAGGACGGGAAATAAATTGATCTGTGTATCTCGGAGAAATCTCTTGCGCGTGAAACAGCCGTTAATGTGATGATTCGTTAGGTTTTTTTTTTTTTTTTTTTTTTCGATACCGAAGATTGAGTTGGGAAGAGAAGAAGTTAAGATTCAATTTGATTGCTCTGATGGAGGTAGTTCCATTGGCGTCTGACTCGTCTAGGCTGCTTCCTTCCTTGTCGTTGATCAGAGTGAGTGGGATAGACATCTTAGTCTATGCTTTTGGCAGCCAGCACCAATCACTCACTGAAAAGGTTGGAGAGATAGTGAACGGGGTACTTATATATTTTTATACAGAGAAAATGTACAGCTCGGGCTGTCTGTGGCCTGTCAAATACTGCCCTCGGTGAATTTAAAGGGCAATAACTATCATAGATATATTCTCCATCATCTCTAAACTCACCTGTAACAAAAAACACTCCAAACCAAACAAAGGCAAGTGTCCCAATTTAGAGTGGAGTGGCTGAGCAAGGGCCTCTCCCTCTAACTGGTACTAAGCTATCCCTGTGGCGTGGCGTCGAATTCCCATACGGAACGTGTTCTCGAATCGAATGCGCCTCCTGAATAGCGACTCTTTTGTCCTCCTTTATCATCTATCCTCTTCCTATCTTGTCTATTCTCATTTTTTTGCCCCTCATCAGTATCATCTCCTTTCGCGCCTGGTGAGCGCGATTGTGTGATTGATTTTCTGGTCATTTCCTTGTTCTTCATTTCCGTATCGCACACCTTCAGCCTCTCAGCCCATATGATCGTCAGTCGCTAATTGCTCGCTCTACTGCCTAATCTGGTTCGACCTTGCTTCTCTGATACGGTTACGGCCTCGATATATACTTGGATCGCTTGCGACGTGCACTCTCTGCAATATAAGCCCAAGTTACCATACGCATAATACCTTGGCGCCCCTAGAGCCCAACATGCGCTTCTCGCCGCTTGCGATCCTCGCTGGGCTGTCAGCTGTAGCTCTGGCTGAAGAGGAGAGGAACCCAGTGACTGACCCTACGACTTTTAACGGAAAATCAGTACCGCCATTCAAGGAGCTAACACCATCAAACTGGGAGGAGGAAACAAAGAAGAATAAGTTCTGGATGGTAAAGCATTACAGGTATGTTTAGTTGGGTAAGAGTGTAATCCATATGCTTATTCGTTGTCAGTCCGTACTGTAAGCACTGCACGAGATTCGCTCCAACATTCCAGACACTCTACGAATTTTACTACACCTCGAAGCCCCCGACCGAAAACCCTGACGACACTTTCACAAAGTACTACGATTTCGCATTCGGCACGGTTAATTGTGTTGCCTACTATGATTTCTGCATGGACCACAACATTCAGTCATACCCGACGACGATTCTCTACGAAGATGGAAAGGTGTTCGACACGCTGCGAGGAATAAAGAACATGACAGCGCTGACCACCTCGGTCGAGAATGCACTCTCCAAAACACATCCAGGACGTCCTGCACTCGTGGAATTGCCCCAGCCTGGTGATACTGTGTACCCTGCGCCCAAGGCTGAGGAACCAGCCGCCGAGAAGAAGGTCGAGGGAGCTCAGGGAGATGCTAAGGCTCCTGTGGAAAAGCCCGCCGTTAATGCCGAGAAGCCACTCGACGCCGTTGCTGAAAAGCTGGTTGAGGAGCCAGCTGGTAAAAATGCGGGCAAGTCTCTGGACGACATTACCGAATCGCCCAAGGATGCAGAAAAATCTGGCAAGACCGAATCAACCGAGAAGAAGCCTGAGGAATCTGCTGCTGCTAAGGACGAAAATAAGAACACGTTTGGCGCTGATTGGAAGGTCCCCACCACAGGCCAGATGCTGAAGAAGACCAAACCCAAGGATACCACTCCCAAGTACAATTTGGAGGGCACAAGTGTACCTCTGACTCCTGAAAACTTCGACAAGTTGGTCACAAGCTCGAAGGATCCCTGGTTTATCAAGTTTTATGCGCCTTGGTGCTCTCACTGCAAAGCTATGGCCCCTACATGGCAGCAGTTGGCAAAGAACATGCAAGGAAAGCTCAACATTGGCGAGGTCAACTGTGAGGCCGATCACAAGCTTTGCACACAGATGGGCGTCAAGGCATTCCCTACCATCTATTTTGTCACAGGCACCGAAAAGGCTGAATACAAGGGTCTCCGCGGAGTTGGTGATTTCGTTGCATACGCCGAGGGTGCTCTTGAGGTTGCTGGTGGGGTTATTGATGTTGATGCCGAGAGCTTTAAGGAGCTCGAGAAGACCGAGGAGGTTCTGTTTGTCTACTTCTATGACCATGCAACTACTACCGAGGACTTCAAGGCACTGGACGCCCTCCCGCTCAACCTCATTGGACGTGGCAAGATTGTAAAGACAAGTGACACTGAGCTTTGCTCTCGGTTCAAGATCACGACTTGGCCCAGACTTCTGGTTTCGCGCGAGGGGCGTGCCACTTACTACACCCCTATCACTCCTGATGAGATGAGAGATGTAGATTCCCTCGTTTCCTGGATGAAATCTACTTGGCTCCCGCTTGTCCCTGAGATGACTGCCATCAACGCCAAGCAGATCATGAGCCACAAGCTGGTTGTGCTTGCGATTCTGAACCGCAATGACGAGGACCGTCTACAAATCTCCATCTCAGAACTCAAGAACGCGGCCAACGAGTGGGTTGACCGCCAGGTGCAGGAATTCCAGCTGGAGCGTAAGAAGCTCCGAGATGCTAAGCAGATGAGAATCGAGGAAGCTCAGAGCCGTGACGATCAGCGTGCCCTTCGTAATGCCAAGGCCATCAAGATTGATATGGACTCTACCCGTCGTAAGGAAGTCGGCTTCGCTTGGGTTGATGGTATTTTCTGGCAGAGGTGGATTGCCACAACCTACAACATCGACGTTCGAGATGGTGAGCGTATCATCATCAACGAGGAAGATGTAAGATTTCTAAATACCCCTTGTGCGATTGACTATACTAACAAATTGACAGCGACATCAATTCTGGGACACTACCCCTACAGGTAACCAGATCATGGTTAGCCATACCTCTATCATGGACACTCTCGACAAGATCGTCTATGGCCCCAACCCAATCTCCCCCAAGTACACTATCGGTACTTTGGCCAAGTTCTTCTTCGACATCAAGATGAACTTTGTCGACCACCCATTCCTGTCAATGGGATTTGTCATTGCCGTTGGCTTTGGTCTCTACTCGTGGATCCGCAACCGTACCAGACGGTCTCGCGGCACTTTCTTCCGTATGGACGACTCGCTTGGTCTCAAGGATGGTCTCCTAGGACAGAACGGTAACGACAAGTCTGACTAGACTTACAGGCTGTGAAACCAGTGCTGTTGAGCGGAAAGGGGAGAAGAGAAAATTGGACTGATGCTTGCCAATGCAAATCGACAGGGGTTATTGGAATGGGTTCACAACAGGACTTGCTATAGTCAGTCATGTGTTGGTAAATTGCGGAGTTTTGGGTCTGATGTCTATTTATTTAGATTGCGTGTCACTGTATACTGATTGAACTGATGCGGGAATACCACGCTTGCGTACATATATCACGGTCCGTCCTACCTTTGATCAACCTGTGCCTATATGCTTGAAACGTGCCGATGTCGTGACTCTTTGTTTTGATTATTTTCTCTTTCTTCTTGTCTCTATACTTGACTCTTGTGAGACACCTAACACTATAGTCGTACGACCTAAAACATTAGTCTATGCCAAAGAATGGCGCTGTGTCTCTTAGGGAGAGTATTTCAACTACTATCACCACGGATCTTAGTGCCAGCTTCTAGAAGGACAAGTCTAGGGGAGGGAAGAAAGCCCAGGACCTTGACCCTAAATGATGGGAATATTTAGGCAATTTAGTCTAAGTTTAGGGGACTCTTTACTAAGTTTATTTTAGCATCTTCTTTTCAAGTCTTAGGTTTCCTTGCTTCATGAGGCCTGGCATGGTATATACCTGCTTTCAGCTTATCAAAACGGAATTCAGATGGCTGCCTAGACACTATCAGTACCAGCAGCTTTAGCTATCGTTGCCCTTAGAGCCATCAAGCGTATTGGAAAGGATGGTCGGGCAACTGGTGTTCAGATCCTGAATGCCGAATCCGTTTCACAGTATACAGGCATGGCGATTGACGTCTATGTAGACAAGACAGGACAACAACGATGCCATTTGCGTTTGGGTCCGGCCCAACTGCTCAATCGCAGGTCTTACGACCGCCGCAAGTCGAGAGCGCAACCCGGCAGCATATATGCTTCTCCCCAGCTTACCAACAAAGCTGGAGCCTCGCGCGCGGAATGAGACCATCACCACTACCGTCACAACTACGTACGCATCAAATGACTTCTACCGAGAACATCGGGAGTGGTTAGAACAACTCCTTCTTTCGCGGGTCGAAGCGGAGTCATTATAAGATGCGACCGGGGCAGCGGTTTCCGAAGAAACTGCACCTCTAGTCTCTGAGAGGTCCCGAGACAAATTAAACGCTTGGGTACGCCAAGATGAGGTTGCTCACCAAGTGTGACTGGATGAATAGTCCCACCAAGACTGAGATCATGATCCCCAAAGACATTAGCCAACCCGTTATCTCTGGCGGCCCTATGGAAGAACTCGCAGACGATATCGAGGACATTGCTTTAGAGATCAAAGATACTCAACCAGATCTAGCGCTTCGGGTCAAAGCAACCTCTGAAAGACTCTCTTATACAATCGATTCATCAGAGATAAGGATCACTGATTCTTGGATGAGCAGCGTGAAAACGCTCGCCACGAACACTGACTCAACAGTACCAGGTAGGTGACCTTGGGGAGGCAACAAAACTTGGGTAAGTTAGCCTAAGCTTTAGGGATACCTTTTGCTAAGTTTATTTCAATATCCTAAATTTAGGTAAGTTTAGTGTTTTATGCTCCCTAAGGATGAGTTCGGGGACGCGTTATCGCACAATGGATCAAGAGACTATTAATATTTGGTGTAAGCTATAACTTATGCTGCCATCAGCGTGGATGACCAAGGGAGTAACTCGCCAATTACCTATGCAGGATTTTCTTGATCTTGCCAAACGCTCAGGCGGCGGACGCCTTCTCGCGCATATCGAAGCTACCAAGCAAAGCTTCAGAGAAACTCACCATGCGACATACCCCAACAGGCCTTTCGAAAAAGCCCAGACACACCAAAGCAGAGCTTGAGAAGTGATTCATCCTGGCTGCCGCTGTTGGTTCCGAATAATCATATGATCTGATCCACGATCATCTCGCCGATGTACTGGGTGTCGCAGGCGATGACCTCACCACGACAGTCAAGGATTGCTACCAAAGAAGAACGAGACGCCGAATAAGAGAAGCTCTTCACAGATGCCAATAACGATCACGCTGCTATGTCATATAAATCTTGGAGATTCATCCATGTCTAATATTGACCTATGAGCGAAGCAAGATATAAAGAACCAGTTCCAAGCGTTTACATCGTTTGTGTCCAAATACTCCTACCCTAGCCTCGATCAAGTGTAGAGCTCATTCGTGAGATTATTCAAGGTCAAGCCTTCCTTAGCGATATCTCCGGCGTCAACCAAGAAATCAAGAGGCATCTCAACGAGTGTACCACGGATTCGTGACAACCACTCCCTGACCTCCCTCACACCACCAGGGAACTCAGATTTCACAATGTGACCATACTCAACCTTGCCCTTCTTAAGCTCCGCCTTGACATCCTGGTCTTTCTTACCAGGGATGATGAAGTACTGAGAGAAGAAAGTGTCGTATTCCTTCCAGGTTCTAACTCTGTTGGTGGGAACAGGGTGGAATGCTCGATCAAATGTCTCAGTGTTGACACGTGCAGTGCTGGTCCAGAGACGTTGGAAATCTGGGCTGAGCGGATCGACGACGAGATGATCGGCTGGAGAACCCCAGTCGTAATCGTTGGGGTCTCGGTCGACGGGCGTCCAGTTTCGGTTTGGTTGATCCCATCGTTGGTCAGGAACAAGGCCGAGATGCTTGCGGAAGAGGAAGCGGCGCAGAGAAGCTGCGAAACGCGAGGCCGTGTAGGGACGTCCATTCATGTATGACTCTACAGGTGTGGGGTCTTCAATGACAACTGCGATCTCAGAGTCGTGGTCGCCGAGTTGTGAGCGGTCGTTCAAGTTGGCTGAGCCGCAAATAACAAGTTGGTCATCGACGATGAGAAGCTTGCTGTGAATGTACAACTCCTCAGAGACAAAAGCGTTAATTTCATCTTCAGGGTTGCCATCCCAGCGTAGATCAGTGACTCTAGGGCCTTTGTCCATGTAGCAGGAGCTGATGGTGTCGAGAGTGTTGTCGCCAACTTTGCTCGCCCCCTGTTGGTATCTCTGATACGAATCTGCACCACCTCCTTGGGAGTGACCCCCCTGGGAGTAGCCTCCTTGTTCCTGTCGCTGTGGCTGGTCATCATATCTTGAATCAGAGTGGCCCGAGTAACGCTGTTCTGGCCGGCTGTCGTATCGGGAAGAGCTTGAGTGTTCGCCATACTGTGGACGATCATCGCGGCGGGAGCCGTAACTATCAGAACCCTGTCTCCCACTGTAACGTGGGTCAGCTTGAGGATGCTCATAGGGATTTCGCTCGGGTCGTCCATATCCTGCATCTGGCCGCTCCCCATAGTCGCCCCGACCGCCGTAACTTTGCTGTGAGGAGCCGCGATAGTCGTCATCACGTCCATATCCCTGCTGAGAATATCCTTGGGGTCTAGACTCAAATCGAGGATCGGCTCCAGGGTGGGCATAGGGATCTCGGGCTGGTCGACGCCCGTACTTGTCGCCTCGGCGGTCATCGTCGCTATCACTATCACGTCGTCTCCCGTAGCTACCACCTCGGCGGTCATCGTCGCTGTCGCTATCGCGTCTGTATTTGGACCCAGAGTGACCTCCACGGTAGTCATCGTCCTGGCGTCTGCTGTCTGGTCGGGAGTTGTGGCCCCTCTGAGACTCCTGTCGGTAATCATCTCGCTGAGATCGGTCCCCATAGCCTCGACTTTCATAGTTGTCACCTCCTCGTGAGCCTGAAAAGTCGCCTCGACTCTGTTGGTACTGATCACGTGCTGCCCTTCCAGATGCCTCATCTGGGTAACCGCCCAACTCTCGGTCTCTCTCCTTTCGAGCCTCTTCGTACGACACACCAGTTCGGGCTTCGGCATCAGCCATTGTCTTGGAAGTATTGATTCGATCAAAGTTTCTGAGGTTGTAGAATCCGATGTATCTGGATGTATCTCGAATGCCTGCCTTCTGAAGCTTCTCGATGATACTGTACCCACCACGCGAGATCGAGTCATATTGAAACTCCATGATGGCTCTGGTTCCCAGAGCTCCCTCGTCCTGTAAGTCTCCTGCAAAGGCCGGGACGGCCGGCATCAAAACCCAGACATGGAAGGGTGTTCCTTCATGGTCAGCGCGAATAATTCTTTCTACCAACGCAGCACCGATCTTGTTCTTAACAACTCGTTGCTTATCATCGGTGGCGGTGATGAAGAACTGATTCGTTAGCAAAGGCTTGTGAAACTTAGGGACACTAAGTATACTTACTTGGTTCTCAATGTAAACGTAGAATCTAGAGTTCTTGATGGCGTCGATGTATGCGTTCTGAATCGAACGCTCAAGGGGGTGGCCAGATGACCACTCAGCGCAACTGTACCATATTAGCAAGTTTTGTCCAAATAGAATATGGAAGAGGCAAGTGAACTCACCTTCGGATCATCTGGATGTGAGGCATGTCGCCACGACCTTCAGATCTGTGCCCCCGGTCACGATGAGTGCCATCATGTTCCCCAAATGATCTCAGTCTATCCATGCCACGGCTGAACTGCTGTGTTAGGCCACCCAAGTAATCGTCCTCGCCTCTAGATCGTCTATCTCCAGAACCAGAGGTGTCTCGCGGGGGCAGCTCGAGTTTGTGATACTTGCCGGGATTCTTCTCCTTGTACTTGTCTTTGAAGATGAAGTTCCTGTGCATGGTTAGCGGTCATAGAGACGAATTAGATGTTGTGAGGACTTACCATCGGTCGATAAAGTGATCGACCATGTCACGAGTGATAGGTCCGTTCATGCTCAGAGCAACATCTGACCAACCCATTCTTGAGCTTTTGGTTCGATCGACTAGGATCAATTAGTTTTATTCCTTCGGAATTCTGCGGTTCAAGGAATAGCTCACGCTTGTTTTGATCCCAGTCCTTAACATCAGCGAAGTCGTAGACTCTGCAGAATCTTGTTAGTATGACCCTTAACTTTTCTTGTTGAAGATAAGACATACCTAGCATTGTTGTAGTCTTGTCCGGGAAAGACAATGGCATCCAAGTTACCGGGATGAGCATCGGCGATGGGGTGACCTAGTCGACATGGTGAGTAACAACTTCCCCTATAGAACACACAAGCTCACTATTTGTGTCCCATCTTCCAAAGCCTAGGAGTTCTTAATTAGCATTTCTTATTCTGCGTGAGAGAGGAAAGTCCATACACATATCCAGTCCTCCCATAAACCCAATCTTGCCATTGTCAATGACGAGGAGCTTCTCATGATGCGCCCAGTACAGTACAACACCATCAGCAGTACCATAGACAGCCTTGATAGCATCTCCAGATGCTTTGGCAAGATCAAAGTTGGTTAGAGCCTTGATAGACTTGCCCAATTCCCTCTGCAGGTCGTAACCTGTGGGTAAGTGGTCGGGGTGTCGGAAGACATGGATATTCTTGTGCAGCGCTTCAAGAGCAGTCCTTGTATGGCTGCTATTGAGGGTCAAAGCTGCTTCGACCTCCTTATAAACGATGATGTAAACCTGAACGCCGCGCTGTGCGGCTTGTTGAAGCATTCGATCCAGACGGTATTGTTCGTTCTTAGCAGGGGGGCGGCGAAGATATAGCTCAGGGCTCAGCCACCAATCGAGAATGTAAATGCTTTCCTGTGCCTCTAGATTGGCCATGTCAGGTGATTATCCGAGGGGGAAAACGGGTTGCTCTGACTTACGCTCAAGGGCTTGGGAGACAGCCCAGAAGTATGAAGCACCATCGACGTACCACTTAACGTTGCCCTTCGACTCTGAGGCGAATGAATGGTATCGGTTCACTGCCTGCTGCCTCTGAAGATATTGGGCAGCAGAATCATGAGAGGGGTCATCGCCGTGAGATTGCTTTCCCCCTTGAGGACGGCCACCGCTTGGTGGTCGGTCATAACCTCCTTGAGATGGGCCTTGGGAACCGTAGCCTTGGTTACCATATCCTTGGGACTGCCCGTAGCCTTGAGACTGCCCATAACCCTGAGATTGTCCATAGCTCTGAGGAGGACCTTGGTTACCGTAGCCTGAGTCTCCATAGCCCTGGTTGCCATGGCCCTGAGACTGGCCATAGCCTTGAGAAGGGCCTTGGTTGCCATATCCCTGACTTCCGTAGCTCTGATTGCCATGGCCTTGAGATTGTCCATAACTTTGACTTCCATACTGGCCTTGTCCTTGAGACTGAGACTGACTATAGCCGTAATCTTGTCCATGGGACTGCTGACTCTGTCCGCTGTGAGATTGTGATTGAGAATCATGCTTATCATCATCGTCTTTCTTGTTCAAAACGCTCTCGACGTGCTCGCCGACCTTCTTAAGGAAATCCATGTCGGAAGACGAGGATGAGGACTAATACCTCAACGAGCCAAGGTCTTGGCGGTGAGGCTCAAGCGGAAGAGGGATAGAGACTTTCAAAATAGTTGTACCAAGAATATGTCAAGAATGAACCAACGTAGCCAAGAAGTAGTAGATTTTAAGTAAGATCATGAGTTGTTTTTTTACTCACACGACAGTGATAAGCTGACGGACTGTAAGAAGACAGCTGAGCTTGGAAGCTCAAGTGGGGAGCTGATGACGCCGATGATGGCCACGGAATGCGGAGAGCCAATGAATGAGAGATGCCGTAAATAGGTACATCAGGGTTGCGTTATCAATATGATTGCTCTAGACAAATAGGGAAGCTTCGTATCCTCATTGGAACGTTCATCAAGTTGCGGGGTTATACATACACAGAAACAGACAAGACATGACACTCACTCAGAGAGTCAGCCAGCAACTACACAACTCACAACAAACAAACGTGAATCACAGAGCATTTACAGAGACAATCACTCTCGTTTCATGTCTCTTCCAAACACTGCTTTAAGCTGATCCACGCTAAACAGCATCCTACTGGACTGACAGCTTTGACTGCCGAAACCAAACCCCGGTAAAAAGACTCTAATGCAGGGCAACCCATTGGGACAAGTAACTAAAAAATCTACCGAACTCGCATGTCCAGTTGTATAAGGCTCGTGTGAACTGCTGCTTAAACCCGATGAAACCTCTTGGCCTGCAACAACTCATCCAAAAGATGAATAGCCGTGATAGCCTGTTATGCTTCCTTGTATTGGACTCTATAACTGGTATGAGTTCAGTCAACTGATCATGATATCAACGGTGATATGGACCGCTCAGCCTGTTTTCGGCAACCGAGATTAACAATGTGATTGTCCTGGATCAGCTACAGGTGTCCATGACTCGGTGTCTGAACACCGAAGGATGAGCTGATGGAGTGGACTTTGTCACGATGTTATCCACGGAGTTGCAAGGAATATACAGTAGTTGGTGGACTGACAGTATGAAGAGTTCCCGTTCTCTATCCGTCCCGTCCCGTCTCGTTTCATCAACCCATCCATGAATTCACTAGCTCTCAGGCCTCAACTCTTAGTTAGCCTTGATGGTCGGTCAACTCAACCAACCTGCTTTGAAGCCACCGACCGGCAAAGACAAAAGCAAAAGCAAATTCTCAACTGCCAGATTTGTATATGCGCCATTTTATTCCGACAATCTGTGGCAACCGTGGCGTGCAACCTCTTCACGATTGCTCCCGCAGAGAGTGAAAGGATTCGATCCAATCCAGAGTCGTTATGAGGGCGTAAAAGAGCCAACTTGGCTGTCTGACTAAATCGACCGGGGAGGGTTGACTTGATGGGTTGCGGAGCCGTCAAACTTATACGCTAGAATCCACTGGACACACAGCCCACTTACCGTCCAGCACCTCCAGGGCCGCTGCAATTACCCGCCGGGACGGTAACTACAGGGCAACTCCACGGGCTGATGGAGGGGACCATCTCAGGAACTGGAACCTGGAAAACTACCATCTTTGCTGGGGCACCGGGCACCTTGTAACCCAACAACCTTGCATCCACGAGCCCAGCGTTACCTTAGTTTTAGCTTGCAAGTGGCTGCAGGGGAGAAGGCGACTTTTTTTCTGGCTCACTGAATCACTCTCACACGGAACGGAGAGGAGAGGAGAGACAGACCTCATCTTAAATACTGTAGTAACCTAACCTCTTAGGAGAGACAAGGCAGGTAGTCAGTCAGTCACGTTTTGATGCTCAGGTCTCTTCAACATCCATGGCCTTTTGACTCCCTAAGCCGAAATTCCCCAACCTCTTTTTCTCAACACTTTATCTTGCAATTCTTACATCTTCTGAACCTTCAACTGCTCACCTGAGCATCAGCCCAAGTTTAAACTCTCCAAGTAAGTCTACTACTGCTAGCTTGCACCGGGTTGGAGCTCCTAAATCGGATAACCCATAACTTATGGGCCATAAGTTATCTCCCCTCATCGAGTTGCCCAATAAGTCAAGCCTCTGATAAATCTTGTACAGAATTTCTACACCAGCGTTGACCGATATTTTACTGATCAATTCAAATATCCCATTGCGGTTGGATACATGATCTCCAGTCCTGCAGATGCTCATACGAGAAAGAAGCATTGTACACTGAGACACAACTTACTCTCTTGGAACCACTTAAACTCAAGACTCTCGACATAAGCTCGTCCAATCAACAAGATATTTTCAACATGACAGCTTCAGGAACAGTGGCTCTCTTCTCACCAGGGCAGCATGGGCACCTGATACCCTATCTTGCAGCCATTCACGCCTCCTGTATCACTCACGATCGCACTATCGCAGAATTCCTCCCGCCCCTATCTCACGAGAAACTCCTCGCTTGGTGGAAAGAGCGGATTGCAGAGGTGGCAGACGGCAAACGGCTCATATTCATTCTCCTGAACGACTACGAACCTGGAGCTCGGCCGAACGGCTCCGATGTGGTGGGTGTTGTCATGTTAAACATGCCCTCTTCAGAAACTGGCCCATTTCGCGGTGTCGTTGAAAAGCTCCTCGTCCACAAAGCTTTTCGCGGTCGAGGAGGTGCCAGAACTTTGATTTCTACCCTCGAAGCTGAAGCCACCAAGCGTGGTCGAACTATTCTGGTAAGTTCAATGTCCATCGTAACTATACTAACGTTAGCTCTCTTCGGCATCTCAGTCCCGGTAACTAACAACTGCTTAGCTTCTCGACACAGAGACGGGAAGCCCAGCAGAGGAGGTGTATAAAAAGCTTGGTTATGTCGAGCTTGGCCAGATCCCAAAATATGGTCTAAGTCCAAATGGAGAACTCAAGGGCGGTACCTTCTTTTGGAAACATCTGACGTTGCAGTCCTGAGGAGCTATAATCGAGGGGTCAGGTGTATCGAGCTCTTGTCATTGACAAGGATCGACCTTTCAAAAGTGCTGTAGAAAATTTCCTTCATCGGAGGAAAACGAGGCGACTCGATATTGCTGTTCTTATCATGGACTGTGGCTGGCGGGGTGCTTCGGTTTGTTTTCTAGATATCCATCCAAAATATGATCATTTCACGACAAAATTGACATTGTACATGCCTGTATAAATTTGGGAAAATCTCGTACAAAAAAGAAACCGCTTTGATTGCTTTCCACACTACACGGTAGATCCACGATACTATTACAACTCCCAAAAAACGCCATCACCCAAGGTCACTTTTAGATGCCATCTACTCGTCGTCATCGAGCTCTTCAACTCGTGGGGCCTCGTAGTGCCGTTGCTGCACACCACCAGTCTTGACCTGAGTATCCGTGCCAGTTGTAGTCGCACTTGTGTTAACTTGACCAGTAGCGGCTGCGAAGGCTGGGTTGGGGGTGGTTCCAGGGGCAGCAGACTTCTTCTTTTTCTTCTTCTTCTCGGTCTGTACGTGTTGTTAGTGATTTGTTTCATTCTCTCGTAGCATAGTCAACTAACCTCATGCCAAGCCCAGACGGGTCTAAAACTGTCCATGAAAGAAACGTCCTCCCACAAGTTGGGGAATAGCCATAGTCCAGGTGGTGTTGTGAAGTAGGTGATACAGAACAGGATAACTCGGAAGATGGCCATCAAGAAGAACAGTCCGAGCAGTCCAAGGAGTCCCCAACTGAGGTAGTAGACACCCTGGCGCAGCACCAGGGGCCACAGAGGGTACAAGACGATAGCGAAGATAGCAAGGAGTGCGAGACCGGCGTAGATCTTGCGCTTGAGCTGGCTACCTTCCCACAGCCAGCAGTAGTACATGTCTTCCTTTGCCTCTTGTTGCTGCTCAATCTTGACAGTCCACTGTCCCTTGACACGCTTGGGCTTCTTTCCGTTAGGGCCTGCCTGCGGTTCGACCTTGGAAACTCGGAGAGCAAGCATGCTCAGGGGCAACAACTTGAATGTGTTCTCGAGAGAAGCTCTGTCGGTGATTTCGGGGAGAAGAGGGTTCTTCTTGCGGGCCTTCTCATATGCGGGGGACTGAAGAGCTCGGAGGGCTCGCTTGACTAGGTTCTGTCAGCTTCTGATTTGGAAGAGATTGGTGCCATGTGGCCTACCTCGAAACATGTCCTTTCGCTCGCCGTTCAGAATCACAGTTCTGGGTTTGAGATCCTGGCCTCGCAGGAACGAGGCAAGAGCAATGGCCTTGGGGTTTGGGGGTCCCGGCGTAATAGGCTGGGCGCGACCCTGCTGGGGAGGTTGACCGTGGTCATGAGAATGACCGTTGTGGTCGTGGTCGTGATCATGACCTTGCTGTTGCTGTTGTGCGCGCATTCTCATTTGCTCTTGCGCTTGTCTCTTGATGTGCTCGATAAATTCAGGGACAGTCATGCCGTTCTTCTCAGCATCGATGGCGAGTTGGCGCTGCATTGCCTGAATCTGCTCGGGTGTAGGTCGCTGCCCAGGTTGCGGCATGGGAATCTGCCCAGGCTGGGGGCCTGGCTGGGGAGGTTGCTCAGACATGTTTTACTGAAAAAGTCAATGTGAAAAAGAGCGTAGAGAAGAAGTTTATCGGGCTAAAGAATTGGTTGAGAGAGACAGAAGCGCACGAAGGCGAAGTAAAAGATGTGGACTTGACAGGTTTAAGAAAGAGTGAACATAGTGTTGCTGCCACTTGGACCATGCCGTGCCAATCATGTCATAGCTCGCCCAGAGACAACGGTGTTCACTTCCTTCCATCACTGAGCTCCAGAATTTCCGGGGCGGATTGTTGATTGCCCGACCTCCGGCACATCTCCACGTGACAGCTAAGCCAGTGTGAGATTGAGGTGTGAAGGAGCCTTGAAGCTGTAAATCATTAGAGTTGCTTTGTTTGAGAATTTACAGCCAACATCATGGGTGATCGATTAACCCAGCTGCAAGATGCTGTAGACCAGGTGCGTCCAGTTTGCACCTCATAAAATTCTTCCGCTAATAAATTCTACAGCTGGCCACACAGTTCGTTGCATGCCTTCACTATGTCAACAAGCGACATGACCTTGAAACACTTGGTCCTAATGACAAGGTCCGCGAAGTGAAAGATGCTCCAAAAGAAGGCATGTCCGAATTCATGATCCATTCGAAGGGAAACATGCTAACTTCCCTCAGTTGATTCACTTCCTCCAGATGAGTTTCGAGCTGGTATGGTAGAGTTGTCGCAGGATCTCATTGTCAAAGAGCAACAAATCGAGGTCCTCATCTCATCTCTCCCCGGCTTAGACAACAGTGAGATGGATCAGGAGAGGTACATTAAAGAGCTGGAGGAGGATTTGAAGATTGCTGAAGCCCAACGCCAAGAAGCAATCAAGGAGAAAGATCAGATTTTGTCTGAGCTTGACAGTGTTATCCGCAGCATACGACGACCATAATTACGGGTTCGGTCTGTTTTTGACAAGTTTATTGATGCGCAGCGCGGAGTTCAGGGTACGAATAACCAAATGAAAGGCAGGCAGCCCATGCAAAGGAGCATTTTATTATTTTTTGTTGAAACCCCATAATACAAAGGTATCTCAGCCGAGTGAGCGCCTTGAACGCCACCGTCTAGAAACTCTATCATATGCCATACAATCCCCTCTATTTCGTAACCAACCTCAAATGTCATAAACTATGCCTTGCTTGAAGTAGATTTGAAGAACTGCGGGTAGACATTCCGTAGCTCTCGCAGATGCTGGATTTGGTATTGCGAAGCAGGGGTTTTGGGAGCTGGCACTCCCTCCTCAACGAGATGGGCTGCTGTCCAACCAAATTTTTTGGCTTCTGTGCAGTTCAGGGCAGAATCATCTAGAAGGGGTTAGATGGAGGTATGAGTAACAGCGTGGGGGAACTCACCGACAAAGTAACAATCCTCGACACGGTCGACGCCTGCTTCGCGCATCGCCTTCTCGTACATGCGGGGGTCCGGCTTGCAGAGTAACGGTTGTTCCGCATAGTTGCAGTATGTGAGACCATCGAAGATATCCTCGATGCCCAAGAGGCGAACAACCTTCTTCCCGTGGTTCACGTAGGCGTTGGTGAAAAGCCACACAGTAACCTTGGACTTGTCGATGTCCTCCAGGAGCTCGCGTAGCTCAGGGTTGGGCTTGATGATTTCTTCGAGGGGTAAAGCATCGTCCACTTTGGCGTTGTAATCCAGGGGATCGATTTGGTGATGGCGCACCAACCCCTCAATAGCGAGGCCATAGTTGGTGTAATACTCTTTGTGCAGTTTCACGGCTTCATCCCAAGGGATCTCCAGGTGCTTGGAGAAGTACTCATCAATGAGTTTAGCCATTATGTCATGGACTTTTGTGCCTTCATTCACTGTTAGTTTCAAGTAGTCATAAACACTGATTTCAGTGTAAGCTTACTCCGTGGATAGAGACAGTTGTCAATATCGCTGCATAAAAAGTTAGCTCAAAGCCTATGAGAAGTATATTTCGAAAAAGACTAACAAGAATAGGACCGGCTTCCCCGGGTTCATGTCCTGAGTGCTGCCCATGGTGAATTTGGTATGAGTCTGAATATTGAGGCTGGGGTTGTTGTTGGTGGTAAAGTAAGGATAGCGAGGTGTGAGATTTGAGTTGAGCAATAAGGAGGAGGCAACTAAAGGTTTTGAGAAGCGCTTCAATGATGATATTGCGTTAACACGTGGTCGTAATTGGTACATTGAATGGCTATGAGGAGGAGAGAAACGGTTTAAATAGAATTTTATAGGGAACGGCGATCTGGGCCAAAAACGCAAGGCTAGTAAGCAATCAATCGCTTCCTTGGATCAACTCTGCAGTATCCGGAGGATATCGTCGGTATCCGTCCGTCGATGCGCTACGTTTCACCCAATGACTCTTGCGGTGTGGCTGAATAATGAGCAAAGTTCAGCGCGGATCGTCTTCCGGTCTCCGATCGCGGGACTGTCATTCTGTCACTGGTTGCTTTTGGTAACATAAGAGTTGTTGTTAAGCAAACATTCGAGGAATTTCATGGAAGACAACCCCTTTGTTTGATTGAATCTCCATTTAAAAACACGTGTGAGTAGGCCATAAGACTCGAACTCCTGGATCATCATGGTATGAGAAGCTCCATGGGCTTAAAGGAGGCTGTCGAGCCACGAGTAATACTATAGTGTTTACATGATCCATGCTTACCTACAGAGAGTTCATCTTGAGCCTCATGGTTCGGGAACTAAATGATAGGACAAGACGATGAATACAGGGGCTTTAGACTAGTCGAACTTACTGAAGGCAAGGATTGGATTTGTATGACCACAAGTGTCGTGTTCTCGATATTGAGGCTCAAGGGACAGGTCGTGTAAGAGCTATGACACTAACACATGACATTCAACCCAATGCCGCACAAGCCAAGGTTGTAATGGATTCAACGAAGCAATTCCAATATTAGTTAGTTGTAGAGAAAATGCAAACTATTTTTCACTCATCAAAAATTAATTCAGTCTTGTATGAGTTACTTCAACAGTCAACATATAGGTAATTCTCGAAGACGCTGTAATGAAAGAATTCTGCCGCTTACACCGCCTAAATTGTTTGCCTTTCGCGTCCACCCGAGTCGAGGCGCCTGTGGCTCTAAAAACCACTCCATTAATTGCACAGACCTCCAACATCAAAGCTTCCATTTCTTGAACAACAGCCGAAACAGCGCATTTACATTCTGATCAGTAGTAGCTCTTTGGTCCGCGTCATATCGCGTCAAGAGTGGCGTTGTCCGTCGGGTTCAGTACCCAACGCTTTCGTTGAGCTAGCTTGCTTGGAGTTGGTCTTATTGCTTGCTTGCTCCCTTTTTTTCCAACTTAATCTGGTGTCGCCTGGTGACGCGACGTGTACATTTCACTCGCCGCCATCATGGCACAAGATATTGTCGCTCAGGGGCATCTTGCTAGTAGGAATGAGCTTGCTGGTCTTGCTGAGAAGGAGCGTCATCAGATCGAGCAGTATGAGAAGATTGTACGCTTCTCTACAACTGTTCTCTCCGGTAAACATCCGACTATCAAGGTCCCTTCTAACTTTATCCCTCCCACACAAACTTCCATCCATCCGCTAGATATTTCCACGCAAGATGGAACTCCGAGTCATCAGACAGACGCTCATGGGCAAACCATCGCGAACGAAAAGCAAGCAGATGTGTCTGCTACCACCAACAGCAGCAGCAAGCCATATGGGTCAGGATCTACTGAGATCAACCCCATCTTCCTAGAGAAATCTGAGGATCTGGTCAAAGCAGAGTTGAAGTTGCAGAGACAGAGGCTGGAACGTGCTCTGAGAGACGAAGTTGATCAGAGACGAGTAACTGCTAAGAGCGTGGCGCAAGGGGAGCCTGTCGTTGAATTCGATCTTAACGAGGTCTTGACGAAAGCCTTGACGCTTGTGGAAAGCAATGCTGGTCCCGATACTACTGCTACCGCTGCTGCTGCTGATGCTACTAACACTGACAACGCAAGTGATTCCTTCGATGACAACACTTTCTACTCGTCGCAGCACAACACTCCATCCTCCGTTTTGACTTCCAGAGTCCGTAACGAGTCCCAAGAGGCACAAGTACCCGTCGCGGAGTCGCAACCAAAGATAAATAGCCATACCGCTCCTATTCCGCGACAGCCTCCGATTGGTTTTGAGCAAGTCCCTCCGGGGCCGTACGCACCGAGCCACACTAGACCCCAAGAAGCCTACGCAAATCCAGACCCTTTCGTCGGTTCGGTGAGCGTTAACAGCACTTCACGACCTGTCCAGGTCCCTGGCCTTGCTACTTATAATGCAGACAAGACAGCACCTAGGCAGGATAGAAGTGCCAGGCAAAGTCCCAATAATGGGGAGAGCGATAGGCGTAGAGTTGATTACGGATCAGCCTCTCGACAGCCTCCCCGTGAACACTATATTGACAGCCGTCCCCCTTCTCCTCTGATCAGAGCACATGAGAGATCGCATCAGAATGCGCAGACTTCGCCATTAATAAATACTAGGCCACGACCTCGGGCTGCCGAAGCGACGTCGACTTCTTCCACCGGTACTCCCGCTCAAGTTGCTGCTCTCAGGAATGAGCCAGTCGCTGTCACTAGTCCTGAGAGCTCGCCTCAAGGCGGTGCATCGGATAGGCGGAAAGCAAAGAAGAAAAAGAGAAAGGCTGACAGGCAAGCGCCCGAGACTGAACCAACGCCTTATATCAAGGCTGAACCTAGATCTCCCTCCCCTATGAATGCCCCTTCCTATATTCGTCCCAATAAACGTCAAAGGTACGCTCAGCAACAACCAGATGAACCTGTGTACGAGGAAGTTCGTTACGACCCTCACCCGGGCCTCTATCCCCCAGAACCTGTGCCTGTGCATAATCGTCAAGAGCGAGATGATCGAGTGCCGATAGGCTATGACACAGTAGGCTTTTCATCACAACGTGCAGCGAGCACCACTGTTCCTGGAACTGCTGTCTATAGGAGAGAATATGCCGATGATCGATACGTTTCCGGTGGACTGTATCCTATTGAACAGGCCCCACATGTTCCCCCTCCTCACCAAAGGCTGTCGATGGGGGGAACAGCAAGCTCCCAAGTTCGACCTAACAACGGTTATCCGCGCCCATCGTGGCCTTATGCTGGAGCACATGAAGCATCACCTACAGGCTTAAGACCAGAAGGCGATGTGTTCATGGCACCGCAAAGACCGCCGCCAACTCGAATTATCGTAGATGCTTATGGACGTGAGTATATTGAGCCACCACGTTCGACGATCATCCGGCACTCCGCAGCTCCTCCCGCTCGATCCGGCGAGCCCGAGATCTTTTATGAACGAACTCCGGTTCGGAGGCCCCAGGCGATGGAGACGTACGAAGAAGGAGGGGCAGTCTACAGGCGACGTTCGCCATCGTATATGCCTAGGCGGGTCGTCACACAACCTGAGTACGTTTCGCAGGATTACAGGGATCACAGACCGCGTGAGCATTCAACACGGCCAATAGGTCCCTCAGGGGAATTCGTTGAGGTGATGGCACCTCCAGAACGAAGACGTATGGAAGACGGGACGAGAGATTATATTGCAAGGCCGACCAGCGTACGACCAGCAGAGCCTGTTCGGTATGAGGTCGCCCGGGACTACGGCCGAGTGCAGAGCGTGCGACCCGAGCCACCCGTACGTCAATATGCCACAAGCGTCCACCCGGAGAGCCACCGTGAGGCTGTACAGCCTTACGCGCGGGAATACGGTGGCATTGCTGCAGAACCAGGCGTTGTGAGACAGGAGTACAGCACGCGGCCGGTGGAGCGGTACTACAATCAACCAATGAGAGGTGGGGAGGAGATTGCTTTCATTGAGAGACCGCGAGGGGCAACGCAAGAGATTGTTTACGCAGATGATGCGAGGAGGGAGGTTTATCGTTAAGCTAGGTCAAACCA